CAGCTGCTATGGCATCTTAAACAGGAGCCAGAGTGCTGTCTCACATTTAGGCCCTGCTGTTTTTCCCCAGTGGTCCTCAGTGCTTGCTTTCTTAAGCTGAGTGTCTTCTTGTTACGGGGCTGACGAGACGTGAGACGTGCGGATCCATGTGCAAACTTTATTGTGGAGAAGACAGAGACGTGGTCAAAACAGGCATGGGTCAGATAGAGGCAGACAGGTATATGGTGGGCAAAACACAAGAATAGTCCTAGGGCTAGCGCAGGTCGACGATCGGCAGACAGAATCAAAAAGGGCAAGACAAAAGGGGTGAATCCAGGGAACCAGGCGAAGATCAGAAACCGAGAAGGCTAAGGCTAAGGCTAAGGCTAAGGAAAATGACAAGGGCTAAGGCTAAGGCAAATGACTAGGGCTAAGGCTAAGGCAAATGACTAGGGCTAAGGCTAAGGCAAATGACTAGGGCTAAGGCAAATGACTAGGGCTAAGGCAAATGGCTAGGGCTAAGGCAAATGGCTAGGGCTAAGGCAAATGGCTAGGGCTAAGGCAAATAGCTAGGGCTAAGGCTAAGGCTAAGGCTAAGGCTAAGGCTAAGGCTAAGGCTAAGGCTAAGGCTAAGGCTAAGGCTAAGGCTAAGGCTAAGGCTACAAACGAGGGCTCTGTAGAGTCGCTATCTCTAGGGGAGTGATAAATGCGGAACAATACTCGGCAGAGGGAAGGGATCAGAGTGCGTGTTAAATAGTGAGGGAGTGATATGAAACAGCTGGGTGCAATCAGTGTAAACAGGTGTGTGCAATTCGTGCTGAGTGCAATCAGTGCAATGCATGATGGGAAATGTAGTCCGGGGTGATGTGCAACAGTGTGTAGTGCGAGAGTCAATGAATAGGAAAGTTCGTGGACCGGATTCGTGACACTTCTCCTCCTAAGAGAACTATAGTTGTCTGGTGTATATGTCATTATATATATTAACTGATACCATTTTGCCTTTTCATGACTTCACTCTAAAAGTCTTATTGTATATTTATCTCTTGAACCATCAGCATATTTAACATCACCACTACAGAAAACTAGATTGTAATTGGTTGACAGGTTCTTTTTAAATTTAATTTAATTAATTTTTTTCCTGTACTTGCACAGGAAGTAGTTTCTGAATTATTTACTATAGAACATAAACAGTTTTTTAACACTTTGCCACATTCTAAATTGATATAATTTATATGTTTGTGAAATGAATACTTCTATTCAGCATGGATGCATTCAACTAATAAAAAATGACGTTAAAGACATGTATAATGTTACAAAAGACAGGAGTAATGACTGCTGAAAATTCAGCTTTGCCATCACAGGAAAAATGACATTTTACGATATGTTAAAGAAAAACAGTTATTGTAATCTGTAATAATATTTCAGAATATTACAGTTCTTACTGTATTTTTGAACACTAGTGTATATAAATGTAGACAGTTAATAAATAAAAAAAACTAAATGAAACATTTAAATGCATATTTTGTTCAGAAAACCCTTTGAAATTACTTATAGTGGCATAACTGGAGTCACTTTAGTTGTGAAATATGAGTGGAAACATTAGAGGTATTGTACAGCACTTTATGTTTAAGCCATGGATTAATGAGAGCCTGGTTTTCATTGAGAGAGGAAGTGATCGAGCCAGTTCCATTCCAATATAGAGATGGTTCCTCAGGGTTTAGGAACCTGCTGCTTCAGAGGCAGCCAGGCCCAGACCACAGCCTGGAATGTGCTTACAGAGATGGAAAGCAAAGGCAGTTAGGGAGAGGAGGGAGTGAAAGACTTGGAGAGAGAACAGCACGTACAAAGTGGAGACTGATATTCAGAACAATAAAAGTTTTTGATTTGTGGAAGAACTCGTAATGGGAGTAATGTTTATAAAAAATAAGAAAGTGTACTAGTGTTATGTACATGACATGTAAATATAATTAATTACACTACTAATAATACAAGGTGCATTTTGATCATTAACATGAAATAGATTGACATGTCCTTTGGTAAGAGATGCTATACACACTCTAAAACAATTTTAAATAGCAGTGTCCTTTTTTAATTGTGTATGCTTTCACAACTTCATTAATATAGAGATTGCATATATTAGTGCTTTTAAATAAAACTGTTGACAATATCCTTTTAAATTTGTCATTATTCAAATGAACTACAACATGTTCTATATTTTCCAGTATACATTTGTGTACTTTTTTATGTAATTATTTAAATTATATATGTTGTTCATTTAGATGGTTCATTAGATGGTTACAGTCCGACTTGTATTCTGTTACATTGTAACATGAACACTGAAAAGTGTTACCAAAGGTGCATGGCAACAGCATCGGTAAAAGTAAATAGCTACCAAAACATCATGAAAGTAAATGGAAGATAGTTGAGACAAACACAAACCGTAGGTAAAGTTAGACAGGTGGAAGCAATGACCATGGCATTTTTGTGTTAGCTTGGTGTTAAACTTCGGCTCTGTGCCATGTGTTGTCTATCAGATGAGGAATGTGTGGCCTACTTTCATTGCCAAGTCTTCCATAATGTTTGCCTGCTAGTGCTGGCAGATCTTCCACTGAATCGCCCCAGAGATGTGTCAGTCATGCATGGCCTATGACTCTGCTTGTCTTTGCACTCCTGGTGTCATCAGAGCCATATTAACATCAAAGCAGCAGCAGAACAGATGTTAATGCCGTGTGCATTAGTTCTGCTGGTGAAACGCTCTGGGACGGCACAGGACGCCATGTTCTCAAACAGCAAGTTGTGTCCCTAAAGGAAGCCTCATTTTGGATTGGACTGATTCTCATCACCCTTATTCTCTCTAATGAAAGCCAATTATAATCTCATTTGCTGTTTTTGTCATGCATGCATGCATTTCAGCAATGATGCTTGGAGAATTTGAGGATTATTTGAAATCTCTCTTGAACTTGCAGGGTGTTTGCTTGTCTTAATTTGATTAGATGTCGGCATGCACAAACAAGTCTACAGGTGCATGCATGATTGTTTTCCATCATCAGCGATGCAGTAAGTGAGCCCAGGGAAGCGCCAGGTTGTGGAGGTTAAACTGATGAATATTCTTTTTCCCTAGATGTGGGTTCTGCACATCTGCTGTTGCATCTAATACACTTCAAACATATGCTAGAACAAATAGTTAATGTGTTGTCTAATTTCAGCCTCTAATTGTCCAATTGTGGACATCAAAGAAAGACGTTAATATTTGAATATTCCATTTGTTCACTCAACTTCCTAAGCAAACGAATGCACGAGTTGTAAATCAAATAACCGCTGAATGCATTTTATTTAAAAAAAAAAAAGTGAATGCAGGTCTTCTGCCATTGTTTGGAGCCCTCGAAGTGCCGGGCTGAGCTCACGTCCATGTTTATATCGTGAAAGGAGAGCATGATGGATGAGTCAGCCTGCTCTCCATTCTGGAGCCGTACTTGATTGTTCCCTCATTAAATGTACGAATTAAAAAACAGGGTTCTCATGAAGTCGGGGAGGTGAGTGGATGCAAATAAGGCCTGCTGAAAGAAACAGTGACACAGACTGCCTCTCCCTCGCTAATTATCAGCCACAGCTTTGCCTGGTTGTGTACTTTGGCCAACATAGAAATCACAAATGCATTGCTGGTGAAGGAGAGGTGTTAGTAGAGCCAAAAGAAGTGGTATTAGGTAACATACGAGAAGTGAAAAGAATCATTAGGGAATGGGTGGCAATAAAGATTTGTCATGAAAACACAAAACTGAATGTCGAAATCTCTTAAATTTGTTTTAAACTGATTGAGATATTTGTCATTTTTGGTTTCACTTTATTTTAAGGTCCAATTCTCACTATAAACAAACCATTAACTACGACTTTTGCCTCAATAAACTGCTAATTTGCTGCTAAATAACAGTTAGTAATATAGTTGTTAAGTTTAGGTATTGGGTAGGAATAGGGATATTGAATATTGTCATGCAGAATATGTGCTTTATAAGCACTAATAAACAGCCAATATGTTAATAATAGGCATGCTAATAAGCAAATTGGTCCCTACTGAAGTGTTACCGAATTTGGGACAGGTTTGGCAAAGGTCGCCAACCATATTTAATGTTTTGTTATGATTCTGGTTACATAATTTCTACTGGTAGTTGCTGTATTGTGATATTGCTTATTTGCATAAATGGGTTTATGAGTACTTTATCAGTTGAGTATTTAAATCCACAAAATCATCCAAATTCAAAACCCTAGTGCTTATGTTCACAATGCCATGACTGTGAGTAAATGATTACTTTATGTTGATGCTAGAATGTCAGGTTTTGAACTAGCGTGTTTGCAACACACATTTTTCTTCCCTCCCTCTGAGTGAATGTTTCAGCAATTAAACTCATAATCGTTGTTAAAGTAAAGCACTCAGTCTGGTTAAAGTCCTTGTGCCAATATGCTTGAGTGAGTCTTGGCACTGAGAAGCATTGTTTGCTCACATGAAGAACACTCATGGGCCAAGTACTTTGTACCCATGGCTGCCCTCATTTACCCCAGAACAGTCTCTGGACTGTGACCTGCATAATGAGACAACTAATTTTATTCTCCTTCCTTTGTTGTTTTGGTTTGTTTGTTTTCGCTGGCAGCCATCTTGGACTCGTGCCCCAGGTCAATAAACGTGCCCACACGGCTCTCATGCTAGAGCGAGCGCTGTTCAAAGAGCTCTAGCTGCATGTGAAAAGCTTGTCTGAACTATGGAAAAACTGAAGCATGCCTGGCCAGCTCGCTCTGTAACTGAAAACAGCACCCATGGCTGCTGGCATCGGTGCATGCAGCACAGATAAAACAGCACAGTCAGCATCCATGCATCTGAAAACTGATGAGCAAAGCTCTTGTGATTTTTCTAGAAATATATTAACCTCAAATGTTGCCATCTTGCACTTTAGGAAACATGTATTTCTTTTCCTAATGAGCTTATTTGATCATACAAACCCAATTGAAGTGTTTTTCTGTTTGTTCTTCAGAGGTGCCCATGATGCTGTATCTGTTTGCTCTGGTGACTCTGGTCTGTCTTTGGGCTGGATTGCACATGGCCTACAGATATCTGTGGATGCTGATACTCCTTGTTATCTTCACCATCTTTCTGGTAAGAACATACACACAAAATGCACTTTCATGCATACATTTATGGTAGAGTTTATACTAGCCATCTAAAGACACTACATAATAAATATCAATAAACTGTGACATCAAGGCCACTTTTGTTCTTGCTTGCATGTGTTTTTCTTTCTTTCTTTCTTTCTTTCTTTGTCAAAATTGATCAAAAGTGAAAGTAAAGACATTTATAATGTTTCAAAAGATTTATTTTACAAATAAACGCTATTCTTTTGAACTTTCTGTTCATCAAAGAATCATGAAGAAAATGTGTCACGTTTTTTCATGAAAATAGTAAGCATATTATACTAAATATTAAAATAGAAAATAGATATTGTAAATGGTTAGTATATTTCAGAATATTACTGTTTTACTTTTTATTTTAAAAATGCAGCATTGGAAATCACAAGCAGCTTCTTTCAAAAATGTTACAAATACCTTTTTGAATGGTAGTTTAGTTAGAATGGAAATGCCTTTACTGTTGACGCTTTTTACAAAACAGAGCAAGTTGTGGCTCTTAGATCATCAATGTGTGCAATCTAATCGTATCTCTAAAGTGTTTAGTCATTGAATTCAGTGTGAAAGTGATAAAGCTGGTTCAGTTCTGACCCTCAGAATCACGTTCAGTTAGACTTAATTGTTCACAGCTTAAAAGCATTAGATAAGTCCTAATCCTAAAGATAGATCAATACAGGTAATCTTCACATTTGAGGGCCCAGTGGGCTCTTCACCTTTAGTTTAAGACCTGCAAACAGCTGTCTTATCTCTGAATACAGATGCATTTCTCTCACAATCACCTCACTATCACTGCACAACTGCCCAGTCTGCTAATGTATCGTATAGTTTTTTTTCCCTGCTCTAGATAGATAAAATAGACAGATACTGTAGGCCATTGATTTCTAAAGGTTCTCCACCTCTCGCATAACATCATCTTAAGATACTGGCCAGGCTCATTTACGTGGGGGTGGACTATATTCAGAGTCATTGTATGATTATGAGAGTCTGTTTATCTGTTGACTAGATGAGTGATAAAGCTGGATAAAGCACTTGACCAACCTCAAAGGATGGTGTCTCTTAATAACTCTTTAACATCAGGGTTGTGTTGTAAGGAAGAAGTTAAAATGTTACATAGCTGTTAAGATACAATCACATAAGCAACATTTTGCAGCCAAAAACAGGTTGTATAATGTAGCGATGTTTAAAGCACTGCACACAAAGAAGCCACTTTCAAACCAAGCAGCTTTCTCTTGGTCATAGTTTTTATCTTTATGCTAAAAAAGAAAACTGCATCATTTAGAAGTGCAATGGATATATGTAATTGATATAGTAAAATGTAGCCAGCAAAATATGGCTTGCAACATCAAATTTTACATGCTGCGTTAGATGGCCTTCCTTGCAGCAAGTCTGAGTAACAAGTAACATTTTAACAGACAAGTCCAAAAATCCTTCCCATCAGCAGAAAAGATAAAAACATCCATATCACTGCTTCCTCCAGTATTTTTTCTTCTTCAATATCTCCTCACTGTTACAGTTAGTGTAAACAGCAACTAAACACACAGTCGAGCATATTTGTTCTGCTTGTCCTACATTACAGACTGACTAATAGCAGGTCAGAGAAGCTGTTATTGTTTCTAACACAGCCAATTGGACAAGATGCCCTTCACCTAGAAAGAGCATAAATAGCACAAAATTTAGTTTTGACTCCCTTTGAGTCAAACTCTAAATGCCCACATAAAAATGTCAGCAGTGCCTACACAAAACATGACCTCCTTCTGTGGAAAATCTTCACAAACATGTGGGAGGCCCATACAGACATCCATGGATGTGTTGATATTTGGCTGATAGAACTTGTTCAGTTCTCAAAGGAATTCTTCAGCAATCATTTATAGGAAGTGTTTGTGATATTTTAGTTTTAACTCTTCGCTGCACATTCCCCTTCTTTCCTGCAAATATTTCGGTCTGTTTTTAATATTCAAGCACTGAACATCTGTTTTCATGGGTGCTGTTTTTTCCGTGATGCTAATTTTCCATGCATGTCTTATTTTCTCAGTGGCTATTGCCATAAATGCAATTAACCTGCAGTAATATCATTTAAATGGTGTTAGTGCCTTTCTGATTGGGAAGATTGTAAACAGCTTCATATTAACCTCTGCTGATTTCAGGATGTGAGGATGTATAATAACGAAGGTGAAAAAGGTATCAAGACATATGCAAAGAGAAACCCTGCCAACTGCTAATAAAAAAGGAATGGAGATGTTGTTGATCCCCAGCAAGTTTGCAGGTTTCATGAAAAAAGAAAAAAAAAAGTATCACAAAAATATTAAGCGGCACAACTGTTGTCTACATTGATAATAAAGTTACTTGAGCACCAAATCAGAATATTGAATGCAACACTGGAATCTGAGGTCACAAGACTTAGAATATGACATACTGATCATATAGATGACTTTTATTATACTTCTGCATTACTTTGATGGTTCTGTTATGTCTTTTTTAAAGCTTGAATGAATGCAGATGCAGTTGAGTACATTTAGATGGACTACTCCATCTAAATATCCAGTGGTCTCTGTCTGTTTCTTCCACACCATTTCTCACAAGGTGCATTGTGTCAACTCATTTCCCTTGTATCGTATAAAAACCACACCTGTCTGTTCTGACCTGAGAACAGTTATGTAACTAGCAGAATTAATTGAGCGTGCCGCTCTGGCCTCTGGACATTTGCGTGTCTTTCAGGTAGCAGTGATAAAGCTGCGAAGCACAGGCTGCCCACTTATAGTCTATAAATGAGGCCTGAAATCGATACTCTATTTTTGTGAGTGGTATGTATGTGCGTGCTTATATCCAGTTTACTTTACCTGTCAATGATGCTGAGCCACAGTGGTTTCAGTGAGGGCTGGATTATGGTTATTTTTCATTTGGATGTAGTTCAGCTTCAAAGACATTTTAAGTTCAAAGGAAGTAAGTCCAGTTCCTAATACATGTGTGTGTGTGTGTGTGTGTGTGTGTGTGTGTGTGTGTGTTTTATTGGTTATTCTCTTCTCTCCTCACATTTTCCACACTATATAAATCATTAATAGAATGCATGAACTCATTTCACGTTATTCACTAACTGTCTCTATTCCTCAGAAACTTTCTGTATATTTCTCTGTATTTCCAAAAGCTCAGCACTTTTCCCCTCTTATTTTAGTTTCACCTGCAGTCTGTCACCCACATGTCCCATTTGTTATGACATTTCTGGTGTTCATGAGATATTTGGCACAAGTGTGTGTACAGCGATATTTGGTTTGGTGCTGCTACCCAATAAAAATCGTGGTTGGCCAGACCCTCATTGACAATGATGTCAGAGGGAGGGAAATGATGTCATGCTGTTACAAAATCTGGAATTTAAGACCAAATGATTAATTGGTGATGTTTGTTCTTTTTGTTTAGTTTGCACAAAACACATTTGGAATGTCAAACAAATCGTCACTTTAGATGTGATAATCCTTAGCTTAAAAGTAGCCTTTTGTGATTTTTTTTTTTCAATTTTATTTTTAAACAAATTATATATATATATACTAGTGCTGTCAAACGATTAATCGTGATTAATCGCATCCAAAATAAAAGCTTTTGTTTACATTATATATGTATGTGTACTGTCTATATTTATTATGTATATATTTGGCACAAGTGTGTGTACAGCGATATTTGGTTTGGTGCTGCTACCCAATAAAAATCGTGGTTGGCCAGACCCTCATTGACAATGATGTCAGAGGGAGGGAAATGATGTCATGCTGTTACAAAATCTGGAATTTAAGACCAAATGATTAATTGGTGATGTTTGTTCTTTTTGTTTAGTTTGCACAAAACACATTTGGAATGTCAAACAAATCGTCACTTTAGATGTGATAATCCTTAGCTTAAAAGTAGCCTTAGTAAATTTAGTAAATTTTATTTTTAAACAAATTATATATATATATATATACTAGTGCTGTCAAACGATTAATCGTGATTAATCGCATCCAAAATAAAAGCTTTTGTTTACATTATATATGTATGTGTACTGTCTATATTTATTATGTATATATAAATACACATACAGTATGTATTTTGAAAATATTTACGTTTATACATTTATATATTCATATTCTTATATTTTATATTATATATAAATATATTTAATATATAAACATATTTTT